GCTCTGCGAATACTACAGAAATTACATTTATTCTCAGGCATTCAAATATATTCATCGACAGTCCATTGTAAATAGACATTAACTACTGAAAAGATACTGATCCATTTCATGTACTTCATTCCGAAATTGAAAGAATTAATGGATTTTCGTTAAATTTGGACATATTTAGTAAGTCCAGACTTATTTTAATATGAAATTTGTCGTTGTTTCAGCAACTTTCATTTTTTTTTAAATATTTAAATTTCAAAATTTTATTATCATTTCAATGAAATTCTATCTATTTCTCTTTCAATTTCGTGTGTTAATTAAATTACTTCAATAAAAAAAAACTGCGATTAATAAAATGAAATCATTTGCATTAATTTAGGTGGGCTATCGTTCAACGTTACGAGCTAGTCAGAGTATATCAGATCTGACCCATTCAGCGAACTTGGACCGGGCGCGATTGCTGAATCGTTTGCCGCAGCAAGGTAAATTAACACCGTTTTTTTTTGTTTGCATTCACATTGAATGTGTCATAAAATTGTGGCTAGCAAATTTCATTCCGTGTTGGAAAGTGTGCACTTCATCTGCGTATAAGCTAAAAATTCATTTGTCATTTATGTTTTTAATATGGAAGAAAAAAAGTTGAAAAGTGTTTGCATAGAAATAATCTGTGTGATGTGTCATCATCACTGATGACTTCAATCATTGCCCAAATTAACAAAAAAAAACATGTATTTTCTCCTTCAATAATTAATTAGGTTTTTTGTAAAATTAACTCCAATGTTTTCTCACACAAATTTTCTTTGTTCTTTTTGTCTTTTTTAATGCTGCTATCCTCATACGTATCGTAAACAAAACCAAACTAACACTAACACCAAATTAAACTTGAAAAAAAAACTCTCTCTGTAAACTAATCAAATGAAAAAACTTTGTCGTGTTGCGCACTTTGGTGTCTTACTGTCGCGTAGAAGATACTAATCCGTTTAGAAACACCAATTATAACTGTTGTCCTAGTAATTATGTACCGAATCATTACTATCATCACGGTTCGAATAGCAACTATTTGAATTGCGCTGCACCAAAATCCGTTCTAACGCACAATTGCCAAATGATTCGTCAGATTCAACGTGATTATCCACCATATCCAACGGATGTTGGCGTTTATTATACAAATGCACAAACACAACCACTACCACCACCACCTCATCCATATTACACTGCACCGTATCCAATGCAATCAACACCGCCATGTAGTTCGCCACAGCATTCAGTGCCGATTAGTAATTCGTTGCGGCCAAACGCATTAGATCTTACAGCCGAGCAGAAAAATGCGACGTCGAAAGTTAAAGGGCCAAAGCATCCGGGTATTTTGAAAAATTATAAATCATGCCCAGTGTCACCAGTGCATGAGGAAATCGATTGGACAACAATCGATGGATCACGTCAATCGAACGCTGAGAATATGAACCAGCATCGCAATGAAGTTGATCATAAACGGCATTCGATGTACAGTGAAGATGCCAAAACGATTTTGGATATGATTCACGCTGATACAGAGAAAATGATTGCCGAAATCACACAGAAATATGGTGATCTTGATGTTGATAAACCACTACCGAGCACAAATAAACCAGAGCCCACAACGAATCGCAACTCAGGTGATGTTCCAATGCAAGAAGACGAAGACGGCAGCTTCAGCTCCGATTCATTGGAAGATTGTAGCCTAGATTTAGATTATAGTGGAAAATGTCAAACGAATCCACGCACTAGAAAGTCCGTTTGTAGGAAAAAACATCGAAAAAATGAAAACATTTCAATGATGCCAACCCGATCCGTTTCCGATTACTTTATTTATGATGAATTTTATTTGAATCGCAATCGAAATGTGTCACTGTCGGATATTTTAAATGAGGATGCTGACAAACCAAAGCCAAACTACGCCTTCCTCAGTTCGCAACGCCATTCGAGTGCCAGTTTCTTTTTGGCGCCCGAACAAAAGAGTCAAGAGAGTCTGATTTCGGATGATATGAGCGGATGCGGTGTTAGCTATTGCAACAGCATGGAAAGTATTCTGTCTGATGAGTCTGAGTGTAAAAGCGTACCACTTGAGGTGTTATTTACGAAAACTAAACGCGATATTCTGTGCCGCGCTCCAAATATGTATGATTCTAGGTTTGAGGCACAACCAACCACTTCGAAGTCGTATGGCTCCAGTCCGAATAATAATGTTTTTGATTACTACATGGATCATCAGTATGGTCATGGTTTTCATGACCGAGACGAATGCAATATTGCAAATTATGACTACGATTGTTTGATGATGAGCAATAACACTTCGGCCAGAACATCGAATCGCTGTTCACCGCTGCCGCCACCACCGCCTGAATTCCAGAATATCACCAAATCCACGGGCATTCCGAATTCGTGTACATTCCCATCGTTATCGACCACCGCATACCATCCGAGGAATGATGACTTTATTCCACGCTTCGGATCGAAAAACGATCAATATTCCAATCATACCAATAGGAGTTTGAGCAAAGAATTTGCCAACGAACGACAAGTTAAGAATTCAAATCCACTGTATGGATGCGACGATGATGAAGACTTCTTCGAGCGAAAACTCGTAAAACCTGCTGTTCCAGCCAAACCAAGCAATTTGGTGGCATCCATTGAAATAATCAAACCATTGCCATCGACAAGTAACACAACATCAGATCCATCACAAGTGAAGCGTTCATGCAGTTTCGAAATTGAAATGTTCCATAATCGCGGCCGAATTTTGCAACAAAAGAGCGCCGCCAAGAAGTACGAGCAAAACTTACAGAAATTCGAAAAGGATCGGAATCGAATGCGCAATTCAAATGCACAATATGGAGGCACAATGGAAATGCCGTACGTTCCACATAAGCCACCAGTGGCGAATCGTCGTTCGGCAAGCATGAAAGCCAAAAGAGGTAGCACAAAAGTGAAAGATCGAAATAAGATCGAGGAACGTTCACCGCTTAAAAGATCCGAAAAAGAGAAGGAAAAAGAAAAGGCACGAGCAAAGCAAAGTCTAAAAGAGTTGGAGAGTCAAGAGACGAAGGAAATGGATGAGAGATCGATTGAGATTTACATCGCCGAAAAGGGTGTATGTGAAGATGATAATTTGGACAGTTTGGACCTGTATACCAAGCCGAATTTGTACAAAGAGAATTCGGTTGATTCATTGGATGAAATTGCACCGAAGAACCGTGCAAAGAAAGCTGTCATTCGATCCATTTCATTAGATCCAAAACAGTGTAGTTCGACATCGGTGGTGACGGCGGATTTTTTATCAAAAGCCGAGTACACGAAATTCCGTGACATTGAAAAGAAAATTGATGTAATCAATAAATTGGTGGAATTGGAAGAAAAGAAACTGGAGCATGAGCGTTGCGCAAAAGAGATACGAATGCGACCATTCAGTTGTAATGCCAACGAAAAGGGCTATGTGAAGAGTTTAACCGTTAATTTTGATAATTTGGCAAAATCGATAAAATTTGAACGCGAGCTATCATTACGTTTGCGAGAACGGAATGAAATTCGACGGAATCATAGTTTGCCGGATGTGTTGGAAGACACCAAATATCGATTCGATTGTGATTTTAAGAAACGCAGACAACGCTCGACTGATGACTTTCTCGATGGCTACGGAGTCGAAGGTGTGGGTCTCGAATGCCAATTTACAATTTCAATCACCCAAATTTATTGCGTTATTTTATTCCAGAAAAATAAATCACTCTTTGGTTCTCCAATTTATAACTTTTAGTTGGTTCACTTAGGATTTTGGTTGAATTTTTTTTATTAGTTATAACTAATTTACACAAACTAAATATTTAATTTCGATACAAAAAATTTAGTTCGCACATGCACATACCTTATGTTAGTCATTCGTTCAGTAGTATTTGCTTCAAAACTTCATTTTCGCTACTTTTTAAGATCATTCTATTAATCATTGCTTCAAACTCGCTTATTTTCGCCATTTATTTTTCATGAACCTTTTTTCAAATTTGCTTTCAAACTGACAAAAAAAATGTAAACTCTATTGATCGATTTGAATTTACTTTATAGGAAGTCCAAATAGCCTAATGTTACCCTCACAAAACGATGATTCTTCTTCTATTCGACGCGCTTGTTCGCTTAGTGATTTAAGTATGGGAAAAGGTAAAAACAACAAATATTTAATTCCAACAACTTAAGTTGTTAGTTTTTATTTTAAAATTTCACTGCCTTTTTCTCTTGCTGATTTTGACGGAATGAATCTAATTTAGATCTACTGACCCCATGCCATCTATTTTCCTCTGACTCAATTATATTATGATTTCAAAGCAGTTCCAAATAACTTACCTCTTTTTATTTGTTAAAAGATTGTGATTGTTTATTGTTCATTTAATCCGTAAGGATGATTACGTAATTGTCTTGCCAGTTGACCTATCTTCGCTGACATCGTACGATGATGATGATGTCAGGGTTATACGAACGTGTTTCAAGCTTTTTCCACTTTTTTACGTGTTTGTTTTCTTTTCTACCTTTTACTTTGGTTTCGCTTGTAGGTTTCAAATCTCAAAGTTCGCATTCATATAAACCGATTGCAAGCAGTCGACAGAACACAAACTCAAATCGCGTGGCAGCCAAGCGAAACAGTACATTATCTAGCAAAATGTCAACGAATGGAATGGGCACCCGAAGCGTATCGAGCGGAACGTTAAATCATGCAGTAAGTTGGAGTTTAAACTAAACTCAATGACACAGTTTCATTTCATACAATTTTTTTTTCATTTTGCAGAGTGATTCCGACCCAGAAGCTCCAGTTAGTCGTGGTGGAATCTTGCGACCAACAATCGCCTCACAGAACAGAATGAACGGTGGTAAGTGTTTTTAAAATTGTTTAAATTTAATCAAAGATAGCTCATTCTCTTTCATTCGACCCTAATTTTTTTACTTCTCACATATGACAAATGGCAAATGGCAGTCTTTTTTCCTTACCCTGACGTAGTTTTGTTGACTTCTTTTTTTTGTTGTTGTCATAAATAATTTCCAAGATATTTCATATATTAATCTTATTTTTCTATTTTCCCTCCCTTTAATCACCTTTGAAGCATCGTCAGCAAACAGCAAATACAATAGTACTAATAAGACTGCAGCCGCTATCATTAATAGAAGACGTGGACTAACTAGTAGTGGTAGTGTTAACATTTTCACATTTTTTTTTTCTTTCGTCTTCTCCTTTTTTTCTTTTTGATTTATGGGTATTCGTTTCCCTTTTTTGTTATTTATTTCTGACTTAATCACATTCATTACATCATCACTAGATTTAAATCGAGGATGTTTTTGCGAACAAACTGTATATAATTTGAATGAGCAAAAATACTCTCGGAAATGCCATTTTTTGTGGCGTTCTCATTGTTTTTTTTTTCGTTTTTGTACAGTGAGCGTTTCGAGCGGTGGTCAAGATGATTCCAGCTCAGAAGAAGCTCAAACGAATACTCACAAGATTAGCGGCAATAAGCCAGTTGTACCGCCACGACCACGTGGAATATCTGGTGTCGAATACAAACGCAACGGTGTACCCAATGTCACAACCAATGGAAAACCCAACAAAACCACTTTCAATGAAGAGGTCCCATGCAAAGATAATGATATCGCTAATGCTGACTGTGAGTGCAATGAACACATTTCTTTTCTTCTTTGTTGATTTTCTTTCGGCACAAAAAAGTATTTGGATACATGGATTGCACAGTTGCCACTGCAATTTTACTATGGACCTAGATTTAATCTCCATACGTTCGTAGTAACAAGTGCTCATGGACTTCAATCAGATTAAGAAAAAAAAACATTAACTAAAATGTCCAATTGAGAGAATAACGAATTGTATTTCAATTTTCCAGTGAGTTCTCAACTAATATCGAATATCATATCGCAATTAATGGTCACAACGAATTCCGTGATGCAATTGCACCAAAGACTCAAAACCAGTGAAGAATCATCGAATGGAACGGATAACCGGAAGCAAGATATGCTGAAGGAATTGGAAAATGCTGTGATGATGACTCAGTCGATGCTTACGAAAATTACGAATAAGTAAGTTGAATCGTAGTATTTTTTTTTTTGGAAAATTATTTAATTTTCAATATGTAATTTTCTGGTTTTTGAGGAAATTTCTAGATTAGAAAATTCTAAAGATTTTTTTTTTTAATTCAATCTACTTTTTAGACCGTCGGAACGTTCTGGTCATCATGTGACGTTTGCCAAAAATGATAGTCGAATATCGACACAACAAAATGGCGAATATACACAAATGATGGACAAATGCACGGATATTCTACAAAAAGTTCAAAAGCATGTGCAAAACAACAACATTTAAATGGAATGAACATTGAACCGTTTCAAAAAAAATTTGTTCCAGAGCCGAGAGTGAAGAATAAACACAACTATGAAAATTAATTTGTTATCGTACGACCCGAAAATGAAGAATTTAAATTAAGAAAAAGACACATATTTTCAATAGTTTATAAAATACCAACTGAATTCGAACAAAAACACAAAAAGCAACAACAATTAATAGAAATGACCAAAAAACACACACACACTGAATCTGAAGAAATATGTTTTTAATTTATTTGTTTTTTTTTTCGTTCCACGTCACAAAGTTCTCTATTTGTCCATACTCAATATTTGGCTATTTAGTATTGTTAAGTTATTAACCGTTTCAAAGCAACAACAATAGCGAAAGCAGCGACGATTTGTCTCGATAAAAAGAAAATAAAAAGTGAATAATTGTTGATTTCGAAGGAAAAGTATACAGCATTCGAATGAGTTCCCTTTATTGCGCATTCAGTCGGAATGCATTTTTTCTTGTCTTTTCAATTCAATAAGACCGTAGCGGAATTTAACTCTTAACTCTTAAACAAATCAATTAAAATAACGCAATGAATTTTTATGGCTTGTTCACACATTCAAATTATTATGTTACCAATCAAATTTTAACCCATTTTTAAAGAAAAGAAGTCAAACATCATAAGACAAATTGTGAAGTGAAGTGAACGGAAAAAAGCGAATGGCATTGCATTGCATTGAATTGAATTGCATGTGAAATATGAAACGAAATAGCAAAACACACACTGAATTCAAACGCTTAACACTAGTTTTAATGTTCAAATTCTTAGACAATTTAAATTAACTAAAAACTTTGTTGCCATTTTTCTTAAGTTTTCTGTTAAAACATGTAAATAATAAAACAAAATTCGTTTTTAGTTGATATCAAATCAAATATTATATAATCAAATTTTAGTGTAGCCCGTCATTTAGTTAGAACATTTAGTTTAATCTGTGAATTTATAATTCCCTTGTACAAAAAAAAAAAAAAAAAAAAACAAAACTTGGTAATCAAATTTATTTTTTTCTTGCTGAAACTAAAGTTCCAATGCAATATTGGTGAAAGAAAGCGATTAAAGAACGGGACAGAGGGTGGGGTAGTTCATCAATAGTTAGCCACAATTTAATCGATAGTAACACGAACTAATCATTCTAACCACTTACATCCAGACCTCCGGTCAGAACAAATCCATTTGTTGTTATTGACACTGGATGGTTAGAACATTTTGATTCGGGTTTCACAACAAAATCGTGTTGTTTTGCGCAAAACGATCGTTTTCGGACCTGCTCACGGGTCTGAATTGATTCGGCAAAAGAATATTGGTATTTTGTTGGTTAGCACACCGATGAACCTAAACAACTAATGCTTTCTAATGACTAATGTTCATTTTTCTAAATCAAAAATCAACGGGAACAGCCGTCCAACCGAAAGAGTTTCGGTTCTTTTACATTCATTAGTATTAGTTAAATTCTGTTTAGTTTGTATTTTGTAAATCAATTTGATTTTGTTTTGGTTGACAGGGTCATTTTGTGTGAGTTATATTTTTAATGAGTTACAATGAACCTGGCTTTGAATCCATGTGCAGAAAACTCGAAATTGTATTGTGTGACCGATTTCAATGGTCCCGAGAAAAAAGACAAGAGGGAATAATGGATCATTACTAATGAATGAAACTTTTTAATAAAGGTTTAGTCTAAGTTTTACGACAAGTCGAATGGAAATGAAGAAAAACAAATCGTTCACTAATATTTAGAATGCAGTCACTTCACATGCATGTGATTTACAAACGTGAGGAATTCAACAAATTAAATGATAGTCAATGAAAATTTAAAACAGAAACAACATAAAAATTTCTAATTTTCAAACGTAATTTAGCGTAAAATTGTCTTCAATTGCGATTTTTTGCGTACTTATTCAAATCATAGTTGATTAATTCGTCTGAACATAAATGAAAAGTCCTTACTAATTCTCTCTATAAATAAACCGACAGAAACAAACAGAAATTTATCCTGTATTTGTAAAATTTAGACGCGTAGACTATAGAACAATAGCTATACATATTTATCAATTATCTGATAAGTGAAACAATAAACAACCTATTTTTTTGTGAAGAAATACCAATCGAAAAGGAATTAATCCATCATACACTTATTATGGAACAAACGAATGAATGATACACACATTTTATGAATTGTCCTAAAAATGAACCGAAAATAAATTTCAATTTTTACATACAAATTTGTTGGTGCTTTTTTCTTCTTTTGATACTTGAACTTGTTCTGAATTGATTCACAACAATTGTTGAAGATTCTTCTTCAATGAAGAAAACAATATGATTCCGAATGATGTTTTATTTGGCTGACAACATGAAGGTATTTTTTTTTAAATCAATTCGATGAGGGCCTCATTGAAACTTATTTCCTCGCTGGTTCGTAAGGACGTTGTAGGTTTGTGTTGAAATATTAATTCGAAACTCATCGTTTCTCGAGGCAACCTCTATTTTTTTTTGCTTCAGAGGCCACATAATATTTTTTCGGAACACAAGAGAATTATTTCAATTATTGTATTCACGGTCGATTATTCCTTTTGACATCGTTTTCGTCCGAAGTGTTGCAACGTTTTTTCAAAGTCCTATATAATCAGCCTCGAGCATGAAATTTCATTAGAAATCTTTTCGAATATTGTGGATATCATCAGATGGTGTCAATAATTTACTTGCGTTAACTAAACATGCAATCATTTCGATAAATAGATTGAATCAAATAAAAAAACTTCTTTCAAAGTCTCGTAGTTTAGTTTCGCTGCGATTCATAATATTTACATTTTGCAATGAGATCAAGAGCGAGATTCATGCCATGGATGAGAGGAACAAAGCCGGGGAAAGTCCAGCGGAACTGATGAAGAGAGTTGTTGATATTGTTGAATTTCACGAAGAGCAAAACAGTTGAGTCAAATTGATTGTCATTTAATGTCGAATCGATTTCAAGCACTTGATCAAACTTTCTACTGAGCAATCCAAATTCTATATCGTTTCCCTTTCTCAGACTATGTTTTGATATGAACAACATCTATGCGCTCATCGATATAGTTTATTTTCTTTAGGGTCTGTCAACCATTTGCAGCGCACTTTTTATTGTTCAATTGGAATTAGTTGAGTTTTTTTTTCCGTCTTTTCATGGGCATGTGATTTTAAATAGACGCAATTTACTTTCCGTTTCAGGAACGAAATTTGGATCCACTGGAGCTGATTTAACCATTATTTCTAGCATTTTGGTAACTCTCCCTGCTTTTTCTTGTTTTTGAATTCGGACAGACGTTAATTAATCATTTCGATCAACTTAAAATAAAAGTGAATAAGTGGTAGGGCTTCAAGTTCATTTACATGCCCACGCCCATTCCCATGCCCATATTTCAATGCTTCAATTGTAGATACACTAGAAATATTATAGTTTTTCCAACTGCCTTAAAACTTCGACTCATATCCAATCGATGCCGAACTACATAGTGCACACTGCACACTCTTCCGCTGTAAAAAAGTTTTCTGTGCCACAATTCATTAAAGTAATTGGTTAAAAATAGAGACCGGATTGGCTTTTATATTAATTTTTAATCAACGGTCGGTAGTCAAACGGTAGTGTTAGAATGAATTCACTTATGAAAAATGCATCCATTCGAAATAAAACTATTTTTCTGGGGTTGTAATGAAGCGCATAAACGTGGATCTCGACAAATTATTGATATGTAAAATGTTGATGTCCATGTGAGAATGTAAACCATTCCGGTGAACACATTGAATGGACAAACAGGATCCAGCCGTCATTCGAAGTGATACGATAAATTAGTTCAACGAAGCCATTTGGATAATCGTTCTTCTCTTAAAGAAAATTCAGTTGAAATATAATAAACCAATAATTCAAAAATCAAACTCAAGAAAAATTTCTAGAATCTTACAACGGACATTCTTTCCACAAAAAACTGATTTTAGTAATTTTGGTGAAATCAGTTGAATTTTTTTCCACCGAGAATAGTTGAATAAGTGAACTTGTTAATAAGAGTTTAACAGTGAAATCAGACAGAACACCAAACTTTTGGCAAGAACATACCATGAAAATCTTTCAATTGTTTCAAAAATACTTGGCCGGTGTGGGAGTTGAGCCACTTCAGCCATTTCAAAAGAATCATTCAGTGATCATGTTCCTCAAGAGATTACTGGCTTTCACTGTCGCGATAACATGCATCATATTTTTGACTGGTTTTCTTGGACATGAAGACGAAACACTTGACGAATATGCAGATTCCTTTTTTGCGTCCTTATCTTTGACTATGTTTTCTGTAAATTTCGCAATATTCATTTGGAAAATGGATGGCCTATTCAAATTGATCGAAGACTTCGAAAACCTCATTAGACAGCGTAAGATATTGACACACAGTGATTTTATTATACCTACATTTTGTTTTTAAATGAAATTGAATATTGTTTGGCTCATTACAAATCTTGAAATAAAATCAACACAGCTTCCAATAAAAATTTCTATTTTGACAATTTTAAAGCCTTGTCTCTGTCATGTTTATTGGAAGTTTTGTATTTAACCATATTGTTTGTGAAATGATGCAGGAATGGAGAACCCAGAATCAAAGTCAGCATACGTAAAATTGAATGAAAATATCGAAAAGTGGACCGGTGTATTTCATTTCATAACTGTGAAATTGACAGTTACAGCAATGTTGATGCCGAATTTTATTATAAGCTTCTATCTTTATTTTGCGACGGATCTCAGATGCGAAGGCTTCATTTTACCTTATCAATGGTGGTATGTATTTCGGTATTTTCCTTGTAACCGACTAAAAACGTCCAATTTTGTGTACACTGTGTGAAGATGACTTGACATTTGATTTCCATCATTTTCTATTTTCATTCATTTTATTGAGGACCCCGTTTTACTGGAGAACACCAATTGGATATTTGATCATTTTTACAATTCAAGGCTCAGCGACTTATTATGCAGGTCACATAGTTGCATGTTCTATTGGTAGTTTAGTTTCGCTGTGTTTCATGATATTTACATTTTGCAATGAGATCAAGAGCGAGATTCATGCCTTGGATGAGAGGAACAAAGCCGGGGAAAGTCCAGCGGAACTGATGAAGAGAGTTGCTGATATTGTTGAATTTCATACGAAACCAAAACAGTTAAGTCGAATTGATTGTCATTTAATGTCGAATCAATTTCAATCACTTGATCAAACTTTCTACTGAGCAATCTAAATTCTATATCGTAATATTTTCAATTCGATAATGATGTGTTTCACCTTTATCAGACTTGTTTTCGATATGAACAACATCTATGCGCTCATTATTATTATTTACTTTCTTTGGAGTCTGGTAAACATTTGCAGCACATTTTTGGTGGTTCAAATGAAATTAGTTGAGTATTTTCTCTATTTTTCCATGGGCATGTGGTGGCAAAAATTCATTTACTTTCTATTTCAGGAACAAAATGTTGTTCCACTCGAGCTAATCAAACCATTATATCAAGCATTTTGGTCATTCTCGTTGCTTTTTCTTATTTGTGAATTCGGACAAAGGCTAACCAATCTCTTCGATCAACTGAACGACGCCATCTATGACTGTGACTGGGCCGCATTCCCTAGAGACATACAAAAGATATTGCCGCTAATCATCCAGAATACTCAACGGCCAGTTGTTCTTCAGACATTTGAAAATGCGTCGTGCAATCGTGAATCGTTTAAACAAGTGAGTCTCCTTTCTGAAAATGTGAATTTTCTTTCAATTTGTATTGATGTAAGTTGTATGTGTATACAGGTGGCCAACAGAGGATTTTCATATTTTATGATGTTTCGCAAATCTCGATAAATTATCAATGTCTTTGGCAACTGGAGAGTTTGATTCGTTCTAAATAAACTGTTAAGATTTTATCATAAGATTCTTTATATTGAATTAACTGATTTTTTGCCAGTGATGTAACAACGTTCACGAAGAATGAATCACAAATGAAGGAAATTCATCAGTGAACAATAATTTATAAATGTTATTAGCACCAATGGCTATTCATGATTGGTTTTAGCTCTTTTCACAGCATTTTATTCGCTATATGAATGGGATATATGGATCTTAATGACATATACTAGTATTATTCTATACCAAATATGTTCACAATTCACATGCAATTACTTAATTAAGAATTATGTCCATTGACCAGTCAATATTTGCTCAGAAATAGAAAAGAAATCAGGAATTTATTGAAAAAATGGTTTCATCAAAATTTCGATATTTGTTTGATAATAATTAACGTTATTGTAACGTGTCTGTGTAACCAAAAAGCATATCTAAGCTACTTTTTGAAGGAAACGGGCTAGTCAAATATGATGATTGTTATGGCTTTTTAATCTTTTGTGTCGAAATATATTACTTTTCCGCAAACATAGTTTGTTGAGGAACAGTATTGCACACACAGAAATGAGTAGTTTGGAGCAAAAATGTAATACAGAAAAGTTGCGCGGAAAAATAGAGAGCGGATATAGTAAACTATAGTGAACTGTATAGCTATCTCTTTTCATTTGACATTTTTCCGCGCAACTTTTCTGTATTACATTTTCGATCCAAACTACTCAAATAATGTTAAACGAATCTTAGTATTAGTGATTCTTTTTCTTGAATCTATACCATAGTTCTTTTACCACTGCATAGAATTTTTTTCGTTGAAAAAAAACTTTGGTTGTGTTGGTATGAAATTTGACTTTGACAGAATTTTTTGCAAGAAAAAAATGTGTGGCTAAAAAACTTGGCTATGAATCCAAGTGCACACACATAAAAGTAAATTGTTCAAGTTTTACGATAAGTCGAATGGAAATTAAGAAAAGGGATCGTTCACTAATATATATTAGGAATGCAGTCACTTCACATGCATTATTATGAATTGTCCTAAAAAAGATTCAAAATAAATTTCAATTTCTACATACAAATTGGTTGGTGTTTTTACTTTACCTACTTGAACTTGAGCTGAATTGATTCACAACAATTGTTAAAGATTCTTTTCCAATGTAGAAAACAACATTTATATTCTCGAACGACGTTCCATTTTCATGACAACATAAAGGTAATTTTTCAGGGGGCAGAACAATACCAGAGTAATTCGAAGTAATTCCTTGTTCGTCAAAGTAATTGTCTTGATTTGTTCTGACGTTTTTGCATCATCACATTTATTGAAATGATCACCGCTTTGTCGCAATGAGAGTTTAATATCAAATTCTTCTGTAGTTTTGATTGATTTATTTCATCTAATCACTTGAACACAGAAACGTCAGAATGCTTCAGGAGAATTATTGCGGCGAACGAGGAATTATTTTGAATTACTTCTGTAATTTTCGACTACTGCTCTCCCCCTTATAATTTTTTAAAAAGTTATTTCGATGAAGACCTCATTAAAACTTATTTCTACACTAAAATGCATTTGTAACCACCGCTCGTTGGACATTGTAGGTTTGTGTTGAAATATTAATTTAAAACACAAAATAAGATGAGCTCGATTCGGCGAATTGAATGGCATCTGATGGAGTTTGTTTTTTATGAAAAATGTTCGTAAATGTATACGGTTTAGACAATTTTTATGAAGGATCGTGTTCAGTGGATGAAGGTTGATGTAATTATTCAACCAGTTCACATTTTATGTCCACATCTAGGTTGACTGGCATTGGTACAGTTCTTTTGGAGTTTTTAGTACACGAACGGTGGGTTGGATCGCTTGTACCACCGACCGAACAATTCTTTTGGTGATTGAGATCTGGAAACAAATCAGAGTTGGAGTCAAAGTCTAAATCATAAAATCGAATGAATAAATCAAAGCACAAAAAACAAGCAACTCAAACATATACACACTTTGTCCATTCATCGTTTGAGAATCATTCGGCTTGCGTTTAAGGCCACTTTCATCCGTTGTTTCATTTGCATCGTCCTCCTGTCTTTGTTTATGAATATTTGCGATGTGCCGGTCTCGATTTTTCTTTGACGCAAGCATTTTGTTGCATATTGGACACGCGCGATTTTTGAAATCAGCCAATTCCGATGCTGGTACCGAAGCTGATACTGCCCTTTGAGCTCCAACAACTGCTCCTTCAATTATGGATTTCAAAAACGAATCAAAACCATCCGGATTTTCAATTGTCATACTGAAATGTGAGGATTCTCGTGACGACGCCATTCTAATTCATTGAGCCCTGTGGAAAAATAATAATTTTTACACATAATTTTGTTGAAATTGTAATACACTATTTTCTTTTTCAATTCAAAAGCCATTTCAGTTGAGTAAAAATATGCCTTGCCTTTTGAAATGTGGATTTACGAAAAACATTCATTGGCTTGGAATCACTTTCTGCAAAATGGCCCTTTTCGTTTGGTGAAAATCACTATCTGGGACGAGTTAATGTGCGGCAACTTCAACTTTGATCTGAATAGTGTTTGCTATCAAGAAAAATATTTAATGGTAGGTTTCTTTGTTTGTATTCGTTTCATTTTGTCCAGGGAAATGAACGATTCAAACCGCACTGGCTATCGTTGTAGCGAGTAAAACGTTCTCCGATGCAAACTTTAACGATTGATTCAATATAAAAGACTCAGCTTCAACCTTATTGCCGATCGTTTTTCATTGTGTGAGTGCCAAATCGGTTTGCTACTATTTTGCACACCAATGCGAAACTGTGGAACTCTTTTCTACGTGGGGAAATGGCACAGAGTGTATGAAATTTGGGTATTTGTATTGGTGACCCTTCGTTATAGATCGAACGAATTGCACACAATCGAAGGAGTGACTACCATTGAATCAATCGTTGAAGTTTGCATTGGAGAACGTTTTACTCGCTACAACGATAGCCAGTGCGGTTTGAATCGTTCATTTCCCTGGACAAAATGAAACGAATACAAACAAAGAAACCTACCATTAAATATTTTTCTTGATAGCAAACACTATTCAGATCAAAGTTGAAGTTGCCGCACATTAACTCGTCCCAGATAGTGATTTTCACCAAACGAAAAGGGCCATTTTGCAGAAAGTGATTCCAAGCCAATGAATGTTTTTCGTAAATCCACATTTCAAAAGGCAAGGCATATTTTTACTCAACTGAAATGGCTTTTGAATTGAAAAAGAAAATAGTGTATTACAATTTCAACAAAATTATATGTAAAAATTATTATTTTTCCACAGGGCTCAATGAATTAGAATGGCGTCGTCACGAGAATCCTCACATTTCAGTATGACAATTGAAAATCCGGATGGTTTTGATTCGTTTTTGAAATCCATAATTGAAGGAGCAGTTGTTGGAGCTCAAAGGGCAGTATCAGCTTCGGTACCAGCATCGGAATTGGCTGATTTTAAAAATCGCGCGTGTCCAATATGCAACAAAATGTTTGCGTCAAAGAAAAATCGAGACCGGCACATCGCAAATATTCATAAACAAAGACAGGAGGACGATGCAAATGAAACAACGGTTGAAAATGGCCAAAATCGCAAGCTGAATGATTCTCAAACGATGAATGGACAAAGTGTGTATATGTTTGAGTTGCTTGTTTTTGTGCTTTGATTTATTCATTCAATTTTATGATTTAGGATTTGACTCCAACTCTGATTTGTTTCCAGATCTCAATCACCAAAAGGATTGTTCGGTCGGTGGTACAAGCGATCCAACCCGCCGTTCGTGTACTAAAAACTCCAAAAGAACTGTACCAATGCCGGTCAACCTAGATGTGGACATAAAATGTGAACTGGTTGAATAGATTACATCAACATTCATTCACTGAATGAATTCCTTGATAAAAATTTTCTAAACCGTATACATCGACGAACATTTTTCATAAAATACAAACTCCATCAGATGCTACTCAGTTCGACGAATTGAGCTTAGCTAATTGTGTGTCTTAAAATTCCTGTCATTAATAAAGAAAATATTTTTTTAACGCAAATTGTTTGGTCTTTTTTTCTTTTTCTTATTTTGATACTTGAATTTATTCTGTATGAATTGTTGAAGAAAACAACATTTATGATTTCGAACGCCATTTTATTTTGAAGACAAGATGAAGGTATAACTTTTTAGGTTAATTTTATAAAGAAAACTCCACATTGAAACTTTTTTCTTCGCGCATAACCATCATTTTGAAGGACGTTGTAAATCTTTTTTTTTCAATCGCAAGAAATCACAATATTTCGCATTTTGTTTATTTTTCTAATCAAATGAAGATTCACGAAATGATTTATTAACCAAATTTAAATAGTGAATCCAAAAGAGTTATTCCATAAGAGTGTTACCTACCTTGAATTTTACTGCTTAAGAAGCTGCCATTTAATTGTAATTTGAAGAAAAGTTTGAACGGAAACACAACAATTTATCTGCTGATTAGTAAACGTTATGCAGAATTTTATTGAAGTTGAACTGATAGTTTTTTCATGACATTTTGAGTTATCATTATGTTTTTCTAATATTTGAATGGCTATTTGAAAATGGAAACAATTTGCCTCTAACTATTGAAAATACCTTTTGGTATGTTTGTATTTTATTTGAATGGTTATGAAATCGCACTTCAGACAGATAAGCCTTCATACAGTTATCGGTCTAAAAATCCGGCTCACGTTTGATGGACACTCTTACATCTGACTGGAGTCCTGGAAATGGTACGGAGCGAGTTATGGTATTGCGAAATTCTGGCAATGATCGAATCGCGAGACCATTCCTTTCTACTGGCACCGATAACGAACGACTTGATTCCGAATATGTTGATGCATTGTGTAATTCTGGGAGGCAAATCCTTCCTTCCGGTGCCGATGCCAAATGATTTGATTCCGAATCTGTTGTGGACTTGCGTAATACTGGCGATGATCGATTCGCGACCCTTTCCACTGGAGCCGATACCAAACGATCTGATTCCGAATCTGTCGTGTCAGAGCCCAAACCATCGTCCGATTCTAATTCCACAAAAACAGTTCTGGTAGAACGTTTTGGTCGTTTTGAGTTCGGTTCTTTTGCTAAATCAAATGAAAAGAAATGAATTAGTTAAAGATGAGAAAAAATCCTTCAAACTAGATGCAAACCTTGATCGTTGTTTGTGAACATGTTCAACATTTCATTCACTATGGGCTCACGTTCCGCGCCTCGTTTTGTTTGCTTTGTCGGCTTCTGGCGATTTTTATTTGCAGGCTTGCTTCCACCGCCGTGCATTCGTTCAATGTGCTTGTCGCGATTGGCTTCTGATGCCAACTTTTTCTTGCATATTGGGCAAGTTTGATTGTCCTCGGGCTGTTCTTCACGGAAAATTGATTTCCAAAACGTTTTTACTTCATCTAGATCGTCAGTATTTAAATTGACTGCGACATTGTATTTCGGCAAATTTGCTGCCATTCTTCCTTGTTGTTTCGACTGAAAGACAAAAAATATTTTTCGAGGGTTATTATTTAATCAATCATTTTAGTTTGAAATTTAATAATTTAATAACCGTTTTGTAAATATATTGAATTTTTCAGACGTTTCAACTGGTTTTTTGTATGCACTATCATTGGAATTTAAATCAAATTCCACTGAGTGGGCTAAAGTTCAATTATTTTATCTGGTTAAGTCAGACAAAGTGAATAACTTTTCAATGATTGAAAATCCAATCGTAGTAGTACGAAAATACAAGGGCAAATTACTATTAAATGTATTTAAATTTGCACGATATATGGAAGCCTACTCATCGGTTTCCACCTCTTTTTCTATTGTAAAATTCATTTGATGAAATGCTATGTGGTTTCTAATCTTCCTAAAGTGAAATTTTTTCAGTTTGAAAATGTTTCAAATTAGAAAAAATCAAAATTCGCATTGCATTTCGTTATAAGAAAGAAATGAAAATCCCGACATTTTCAGGCTTTATTACTGTGCCAATTTTTGGAATGAGAATTACCAAACAATTCACTGTCTCTGAATCACCACCGCGAACGAACGAAACGACTGTTACCAATCACTATCAAACACTATCTGAAACAATCCAATGGCTTGGTCACTTTGATGGTGCGAATATTATTATTTTTTTGTTTGTGTTTGTGAAGTTGTGTTTACCACAATACATATAACCAGATTTACTGAAATGATATTCAAACTTTGTGTATTTTCTTTTTAAAAGAATTACGTTCATCTCTAATGCACATGCAATCCTATTCAGATTAATCGTGCAAAGTATTTCGGTTCTCAGCTCAAGAAACAAAGGTCCCAATTCATCGCTCGTAATGTGTCTAATTTATTGTTTGATGTAAATAAACAGTTCGCATTGCAGACATTTTTTATATCGAACATAGCATCTTTGCTATGCAGCGACAAACACATTTTTAGAATCTTGAGTTTCATGTTACAGTCTGTAACTTACAGAGTATCGCCATGGTTCGTATACATGAGAGTGAAATAAATATTTCCCATTCAAATTACAGTAAAACCATTTAATAAGATAAACCCATAGATAATGCAAGAAAGATTCGGCCGAAGCGAAGTGGGTATTGAATGTTTCACTATTTGGTGATTTTATTGTAATGTATACGTTATCATAATTATGATTAAAATGTGGTGAGAACAGCTCCAAAGTGATCTCATCTATTCGAAAGGTATTTTAGACGATTCAAATATTTTTTGAATGCATTACGAACGAATTCGTTTTGGTGAGCGAATTTGTTTTGAATCGACGCATATTTTAAGCATCTTGATTATTTACATATGACGATATCAGAAATTTTCCTGTTAGCCACACATAAATATAGTATTTTACGGCCTTTTGCTTTTAATTTTGCGCATAATTTGTCTGGTATTTAAGGTCAGTTCAACATGTCGATTATTGTTTGTGCATCGCCTTTTTGTGTAGAATCTGCAAAGCGTTTTGACAATATCGAATCGGCGAACTTTTTTCATACCCTTTGAATATTTGAGTTTTTTCATTTAAAGTTTTTTTTTTTCAAAGAGAACTGAAAAAATGTTGCACAGTTGCATTGCAAATAAAACCGGCCATTGCATTGAAATGATGGTGTAATGGTGTATCGAAGAATTCTCCCATGATAAATTATCATCATCAGACGTGGATCGGTTGCTTCCAATTCGATTCGTTTTGTTGTTTTTACTAACACAATAAGGCAAATGAAACAAAATCATCAAAAACAACGCAAAGACTAAGTAAGTTTTAATTGTGTTTATTACATTAAACATGATGACATTCGGTGAGACATTTTGTGTCTATAAATGTTATTGTTAAATTGTCTATGTCAATATATGGTTAAATAATAGTGTCAATCTCATTTGTCTTAGGGTGAATAATGCTATATCATTATAACAAAAATATTATTCATATTGAATCCAAAAATAATAGTCATTTGAATATGTGTTCCGCATCATATTGATACATATGTTATGATAATTTCATTGTTCAGAGGCGTTTTCATTCTTTTTATTTACATTTAACATAAAAATGCATATTTGAATTGAAAGTGTCCTTTCCGTCGAAGCAATTTGTTCAAAAATTGTTTGATTTCTATTGAAAATTGTTTCATTTGGTGGTTGTTGTTCTATTCTAAACTCATATGTATATATATTGGTATAGTTTTGTAAAATTGATTAAAAATAGAAGGTGTGCATAAATTCTTTTGTTTGAGACCATAAAACGATAAAATACATTATTTTCTCTATCTAAAATTGTTTCCCATTCTTTGTTCACTTCAATTTCAGAAAATAATTGTTGCATTTTTTTAACAGTGGCTTAATAGTTCTCTGTCATTTAGATAAAAAGATTTCCTAAAAAAGATTTGAATGAAATCATAAAGCAGACTTGTTTGTGTGTGTGTGTGTTGTTATTTCACTGAAAAGTTGGATCAGTTAGAGAGAGCCATTGAGCGGTGGCTGTCGCCGATTTTGATCTAAGTAGGTCATCGAACAGAGCACGATTCGCTTGGGGCAAACTTCGGTCATTACCAACTAAAGCACGTCCAATTATTTCATTGGAACCTGTGACGCCACGAAAACAGGAGTAGAATTAGGTATAGAAAAGCAATTTTCGATAGGGCATATAATATATATATAGTAAAACACATACCCAATAAGCTGTCGTGGGCGACAAGAATTTCAATTGTGCACGTTCTGAGAGTATCCTTGGGAATATCGAATGTGAGCGCTTCATTAAACACGGGACAGATTGTATTGCGATATACGCCCGATTTTCGCTTTTTGATCTTTTTACCATTCTGTATGAGCGACAATTTAACATATGGGTCTGATGAATTGCGTGACATATCGACAACTTTCAAATTACGAGCCTTTATCAAAACGACAGTCAATCGTTCAGCCGATGGCAGGTATGACATCGATACCATTACATCACCAAGATCAACTTTAGCATCTTGTTCAGAGCACGAGCCCAAAAATTGCCACATATCAATTTTATGCGTTAAATCCAATTTGCTCAAATCGATTTGTGTGCCACCAATGCAAAAATGTCGTGAATACGAATCAAAATCGTATAGCAAAATCTCAATGATGCGTCGACCAATCACTGATGGCCGTTCCTCAAAAACGAAATCTTCATCAAAAACTGTACGAAAAGAAAGACAATAACAAAAATTTCATGAATAAATAAAGGTGCAGCTGCACATAAGGGCAAATAAGAAGATTATAACTGCGGAATATACTTGGGTTCAATGTTCTTTTATGTATTTTGGTTTGCCAAAAGTTCGTTTTGTCTGGTAGCAAGCGAATTTTCGCATATGGGTCGGCTGTACCACTAAAATCTCTCGGTTGTAAATCATTTGCCTATCAACAGATGAATAATTATGAGCGAGGCTTCAGAGTATGCAAATGTGTTGTTGAATGAATATTTACCTCAATAAGTCGAACTGTTAAAATGCCTGCATTTGGATCATAGTTGATGGTTAAATTGATAACACCGCGCGTGTCCTCCGGTATGGATGGATTTCGTTTGATTTTCGCCTGAAAACGCACATAAATCAATTAATACGGTTGAATGAAAGCGTAATGAATTTTAAGTGTCATTAGCCATATATATTATTCTCATGCAATACGAAACCACTAAAACTTATCATCATTAAATCAACATTTGCCGAAGACACGAAACCAAATGGAATGGCTTTATTGCTTTGCCTATTTACCTGTTCGTACAAAGATGTATCGATTTTTGTGTGATCCAATTTAGCTTGCATGGATGAAACTTTTGGGCGTGCCGGACTCATTGCAAGCACAACATGTTTGTCGGTACGAGCGATTGGTACCGTATTACCCGACCCAATTGACAATGCCATCGATGTATGGCTGCCCGTCGGTGATGTTGGTGTTCCAGGCAGCGAATCGTCTAGATACATTCCCAACACACACGAAAAACAAATGAAATACATAAATCAGCAATAAACAAATTATTCTATATCGAACCTGTTGAAGTGGTTGCCACTGCTTCGCTATGCGTACTCGGATGCCGTGGATTTTGGATGGTTGGCACCCAAAATGTTTCGTTCACCGACACCGGGCTGCGATTCGATGAGCGTAGACTTGTTGAATCGACCGTATCCACATTATATGGTATGGCATTGTTCACTAAAAGTGCCTCTTGACTTTGGAACGAAGGAGAATGAGAAATGAGATGTGACCATCAACATAAATTTCAATTTCAACTGTCAATTCAATCATATCCCCACCTCCCTTTTCATTCGCACATATTTTACATACCTTGCACCAAACTCCTGACTCTCGCATGCCGTCTCCAGCAAATTCTTTTCAAACCAATTCAATTTATACTTTTTCGAGCAAGTTATATACAGAAATACGCCTATTACTGTGACAATCAGAAACGATATGGTTGAGTAGAGAGCCACTTGCGGCACAGTAATGTCGTCCGGATCGAATGTAAAATCCATTTTCCACGAGCAGAATGAAAAAAAAAAACCGACGAGAAACTTTACGTCAATTCACTTGAGCCTGTGGTTGCTTTTATTCAATCAACGTCTTTTTCCCCTTTATTCTCTCCGTCTCGAACAGCGTTTTCAATGTTAACCTATCAATTGGTCCGCAAATAGAAAAGAAAATCATTAAATGAATTGTGATTGTGCAGAAAATTTCATCAAAGAAAATTATGAAAATGCTTCAGTTGCATGGACGAAGAACAAAGGAAAAATTATAGGGAAAAAAGGGAAAATTGCCCACAATTCAATTGGGAGAGTTTCAAATATCAAACAAATATTACCAACAATGTTAGAAATTAGTATTCTTTTATCTCGGCACAGTGGATGCGTCAGGAGCAAACAGTGGAAACGCCAACTTTTGATGGTAAATCTGTATTTTCGGGCAGTGTATGCATTGTGCAAGGTGCTTTCGAATGCTGACTATTCGAAAGCAAAGTTTGTATCAAACACCATTTTTTCCTTTCAACCATATATTACGTATTTATAGTCGCCATTTGTAACAAATGAGAAAACATGTTTCAAGCACGTTCAGTTCTACCGAAAAAAAAAGAAAAAAATCCACCTAAATCCGACTTTATACTGTCGAACATTGCTAGTTTATATGATGTGAAACGTTACAGTTTCCAAGAATCGTATTATTTCTTTCCCTCACTCTCTTTCTTCATCTCCTTTTTTAAGCTTTGGCGCTCGTGGGCTTGACATCGGTTTAATTCATTGTTGAGCATCAATCGTTCAAGCTCACGCGCTGAAATGGACGCAATTATTTTTGCCACCGTCGGGCATTGGAGCGAACAAGCGCACACGACAAGATAAATATTGTCGCTCTCGGAAAATATGAATGTTTCCGTTTGTTCAACAAGCCACGATGTCAAGATATAAAAGCTTCAGCACATATTTTTTTTTCCGCATGATTAGTAACGAGACTATTTACAAAGTTCCGCATTATTAAGTGCTCCATGAGGCACTCATGGAATCTCATTATAATTTATGGTGGCTGCCTATTTCCGTACACCGCGATCATCAAACTGAAACTTAAATGAGATTTCCGAGTTTGGAAATGAAAATCGACCGAGCTCCTTTTGTTTACATTGATTTTATTACGTATTTTCTGTAGCAATACGGTTGCAATCTTAAAGTAATTATAAAGTTGTGAGATTTAATAATTTCTATTAATATTAATTCAGCAACATTTTGCTGAAAAGGTCGATGCAAGGCTTTTACTTGTGAAAACATTCGTCGTTCTTCGGAATTAAAATAGAATTATTGCACGTAGTTACCAGGAACACCATCACAAAAACACGAGTTGATGAAAATGGAACGGATTCGAGGTTACAAAAGGAATTTTATAGCTCATGTTCCGGCGACCCGGAATTATAGAGGAAAGAATTTGTCATGGTATTTCAGCGAACTTTCATTCCATCTGAACGTACGTCTCTTGATGAAAATACTACCCATACCCGACTATGATCAACAGCGTCAAATGAAATGCGACTTTAATGTCTGTTCTCAAATAGTTGTGATTTAGTGGGGGGGAAAACTATTTCACATTTCCCTGTTCGCAGGCAATGAATAAACTTTTGTTCAAGTGGTTTTGAATGAATCGCTCGAACAAAAGGGCTCCTTGTTGACATTCATCTATTCGATGAATTAAGCCTTGGATTATAAAAGCTATTTCAGATAAATTCATTTTTCCTAAGTGAATTCTATAGAGCCACGTTGTTCTCGAAGTTCCGGTTGTGCACAATGTCAACGAAAAAAAACATCGCTTTTATTGAATTTTCCTCCGAATTTTCAGCATTCGTTCCAAACAGCTTATTTGACAGGCAGGGGAAAAATGTGCACATATACCTCTTCGACTGGTCGCTGACAATCAATCAATTTCCTCAGAAGAATCATCAAAAAATAATGGTCAATAAGTAGCTCAGATCCTTTTTTCTCTCTTACTGTATTGTGCGCCGATCCCCGTGCCAATATATCAAATTCCGAATCAAAATACATTCCGAACACTTCATCACTGATTCATGGCGTTGCCATGAAATATGTACGGCAAACGATGTATCCACGAGCCACACAAATGAGTTCTCAGCGTTCGTAGCTCAGATTGATTGGATGCTGTATAAAATGAGATAACATTTCAATACATAAACGTGAAAGATGATTCCGCTTTGGATTTCCGACGAGGGCTGGAGAGAGATATGGAAAATGCTATCATCAGTCATCACACTGATGGTCTTTTTACGTCGTTGTGTGTGCTGTTTATTTCGCTAAAACTTTTATTGGATTTAATGGTATAGCTCTATATCTCTGATGTGAGATCACACGACGTCGTTCATTTTTTTATTTGAGTGAAGCGGATTTACAATAGCGAAACGGTTGCTAATTTGCATTGAAAGTGGAAATAGTGCGGGATTTTTCATTAACCGTGGCTTTGGCCACAGCAATGGCAACGCGCTGCGTAATGGCATTTCGTTTCGCAGAATGATAAAATCCAGCGATCGATAAATGCAATGCTACAACGTAATCGTAATTTTGTTGTGTGAACGCAGTGAGAGAGAGTCGACCGTAAAGAGCATCAGCTGAATCGGGTGCAATAAAATTGCGTTCGACGAAATTGCAGCAATAGTCATAACCAAGGCCAACACTGCGAGAGCAACAAACAACAAATATTTACATTTGTGTTGGAATGTTTTTAGTTTGTTGGATGCGCGCAATAGTTTTGTGCTCACTTTATTGACACAAGTGTGCCGACCGATGTGCTTGTTAGCTGCAATATCACGTACTCGTACATCTTTCACTAAGTCGTGTTTATGTTTCGCTCTTAATACATGTCTCCGTTCTGCAAATTCGCATGCAATGCACCGAATCCACAATATCTATGTGTATTTTGCTAGGTTACTCGTGCAGAAAATCATTTCGACAAACAAACAAAGTGTAACACGAGCAAAAAGCTCTCTCTCCCGCCCGCTATGTTGCTCAACTTCAACAGCTCTCGCCCATTATTCAATATGGAAATTCTTATTCATCTTGATTCTGCATAGAAAAGTGCTCAATTTTTGCAGTGAGAAACGTCGAATAAGCGATCCATGCTTTTAAGCAGAAAGTCATGTAGATTTTCTTCACAAATGCGCAATTTATTTCAGCTCTTTTTTCTCTTTCCTCCTTTTTTTTGTTTGTATAATTTCATTTTGAGTTCATCTCGTTCATGTTAGCTGGCAGCAATTGAAAGAGCTTCGGTTGCTTTCACATCAATTCCAATGAAAATGGTGAGAAATGCATTTTTCCGTTCCAAACTGAACGAAAGGTCAAAATGGAACAAATGGCGAATAATTTATAAATTTTCACGTGTAATTGCTTGACATAGCAGCCCCTTTTTTGCCTCCGAAACATTTTCTTCTGTAGCGAATCACATTTTCGCACAAAAGCGAGTGGAAAATGAGCTGCATACAGTATGCCATATGTGTATTTCTCCCTTTCATAAAGATGAAAAATAAATGAAAGCATCTGAGAAAACGAACATTGCGCACGTCTGAGGCATGTTTATTGAATTATCGAACTTTTTGTGCCGTTCCAAACTCGAACTACAACCCCGTCGAACAATGCGATGGGTTGGACAACAACCAAACAGTTCAAACAAAATGTTGCTTCTAATTTGGTGGACAATTTATTTTGAGCTCCATCCAATCAGCAGCCAATTTGCTAAGGTTAAACACCGAGCTCTCGAATCCAAAATTTAACGTTGGTCCAAAAGTTTGTTAACATTTTGGTCAACCAACATTTTATGGCGTTCATCGCCAGTGACTTTATTGCATCATTTCACGATCTAAAATGAGATTGGGTCCATGCCGTAAAATACATGGCTTCTATACGCGATTGTAGTTAAAATGAAAAGCTGCGTGGGGAATAAGAAAAGATGATATGTGTTTGGTTGAATCGCTTTCTTTCTCTGTCTCACTCGCACTTTGGCTAAACATGTAACATTCATGTGGATCAACACGCATTCTTGGTGCGAGTGGAACAAAGGGCGGTTGAATGATGGTGAATGTTCGGGCAATTTGAAATGAAACTCGTGAATTATTTAGATGTATAATGGAAAGATGAAAAACACAATGTGGAGAGAACAAAAAAATTCGCATTTGCACGGCACATAGTGGGCTGACATAGACAAAACACACATTCATCAACGCATATATAAGTGAAAGAGAGAATGGGAGCCTGCGACCAAAATTCAAGACTAGCCGTATTATGTGTTCATTATTGAACGATTCTATTCGATAGTCGTGCCAGTCATTTGTCATCATGGTTATGAGTGAACCGCGTCGCTACGGTTCTGTTTTACGTGAGACGGCCAACACAACTTCTTCTTCTTCTTCTTGACAACATGCACCCATGCTCATGTTCATGTTAAGCGAATATTTTCATGGTGGTTGGTATTGGTTCGTTGTGTTTGAATTGTCTTTGCAGCTATTTTGTCTCGCTAACATACGTTGTTGAGCCGTAAAAAAACACCTTTAAGCTGACTGATCATTATTTGAAATGAAACCGAGCATGTTAGATGTTATATATCGAGAAAATGATAGGTTTCATGTCGGCATGAATGGCATTGCCACCATTCAAATTCACCCACATGCACAACTCGTGCACATATAATACGTACATGGAATGGAAGCATTCGCTGATTATTTTATTGTATCTGAGCATAAAATTATTTCATGGAATCGCTCGATTCATAATAAACAACAGGTTCAATGTATATGTATCAAAGCGCTTCAGGGTGGCAGTTGCTTTTTATTCACATTTCAATTGGAAAGCATGAATGCTGTTCATTTCAACTCATACAAATGAGCGCCTGTTTCATCTTTCATTTGAACTTTTTGTTCAAATAACAGATAGAGCTTGTCGTTATACATTTATGTCGACTCTGGGTTGGAATTTATTGGAAAAACATTCATACAAGAGCAAAAATCCAACCATCTTGGTACCCATAAAAAAACACCTCGCCTCGCCTCGCTGTAAATTTTGCAAAATTTTGCTACGGATACTTGACTAGTGGTTCTCACTTTGTGCACTGATTCTCTCAACATCGTTTCATTAA